TTTAGTGTTTTTCCATTTATTATAGTAATTATTTTTATTATTTTATATTCATATACATTTATAAAAAAATCACACATAAATTCCATACATAAATGTTTTGTAATAAATGAGTGCCACCAAAACACAAATAAAACGCTTTTAATTTAGTAATTATATAGTCACACAAAAAAGTGTTATAGTGACTAAAAAAGTGTCATTAAAACCCAAAAGGGTTGTTGTGACACAATCAAGAAGTGTCACTAAAGAACTTTAGTGGCATCGCTTTTAGTGGCATTCATTTTTTGTGTCGTTGACTCCCTAGGAAGTCTTTAGTGGCACTTTTTTGGTTTTTAGTGATATTTTTTTGTGCCACAAAATGTCATTTAGTTTGTAGTGACATCTAAAACTAACTTCTTCCCCTCGACTCGATTGTCGACCACATAGGTAAGATAACCTGAACATCCATGCTGGAGATACTACCTAGCATTGGTAGTCAGGAAAAAAAAAAGTTGAACCTACCTTGGTACACTCACCATAAATGGTTAGTTCTCCCCCACTTGGGGTTTGAACTACCACAAGTTGCCTCTCATAATCAATCATAGCTCCAAATCTACTCTACCAATCAATCCCTACAATCACGCATACATCCCTCATAGGGATGGGGATTAGGTCAATCGGGTAGATCACCCCAAATATCTCCAAGGTACAGTTGTGGAAAACGCTCGAAGCGGAAACCTTATGTTCATTGGCGATGGATACTCGCAACAGACACTTCAATTCCCCAAGGGTCACATTAAAATCCCTACTGAAAGACTAAGACACAAATGACTAACTCGCACCCGAGTCGAAAAGCACAAGAGCAGACAATGAATTTACTAAGAAGGTACCTATCAGAAGCATAAATATAAGCATATAGAAATTTAACTTGATAGAACTATAAATGAATACATATCAGTAACGACATCTGGTGCCGCCCTGGCCTCCTCCACAATCTACTGAAAAACGCGACCTCTGGCCTTCGGGGCCTCAGGCCTCCCCTAGCAACCATCCGTGATTCGAAGAGTAGTATGATTCGGTGACTGTACGATCCTAGAAGTCGGCAATGGATAGTTGGCCTTCACATGGACAACCTAATCACAGTGACAACCAACTCAAGTACCCTGTTACGAGAGTTGCTACTGCTAATGACAATCTTTGTCAAATTGGCCCTCATTGCCACATTTATGGCACCCGACCTTTACGACATACACTATCATGCACCTTTTCATACTTGCCACAAGTGTGGCCTCTCTGTCCTCCTGATCGGGTATCAGTGGGCTTTAACCGCTTCGCTGCAGGCTAAGCCTAAATCGAGACCTGCCACTTTTTCTTCCTCAACTTACAAATTGCCCTTACCCCCCCCCCCCTTTTTTTTTCCTTCTTGAATCGAGAACCATGTATACCTCAAGTCTCAAGAAAACTACACCTACCCTCCTTGAAAAATCGAGATTAGATGCTCCCCTTTTCTTATGTGCCTTTCTTCTCCACCATACTAATTTAAATACTTTTTTTTGTTTTAACTGCATGTACGAAGATGTAAGGAACAAGGGTGAAGATAATGGTGGTTTGGAGGCTCAGTAATGATTATTGGTATACTAGTGATGGTTCGATGATAGTTGCTTTCACGAGAGATGAAGGGGAGGATGTTTTACGGTTGTACCGGCAATCAAATTGTTGGGGAATGATGGTTTTGGTGATTAAGGTGAATGATAATGAAGATAGTGGTGGCGTTTGGTGGTGGTCTGGCTGCCAGATGGTGAAGAGGGTAAATGGATGGAGATAGTGATATGTGGTGGTGATGGTATCTGATGGTCAAAATGGTGGCTTGGATGTGGATGATAGTGGGGTTGATATTGTGGTTTCCATATCACCAAGAACTCATGGTGGATGTGTAAGGGCGACTTCTGTTGAAGGTAAATGTCAGGGGACGGTGATGGGATGCTCGTAACATGTTGGGGATTGCTTGAAGAAGGTGATGAAAGGGGTGAAAGATGGTGAGGCCGTCAGGTGTTGGATGGTGTGAGGCGGGTGATGGACAGTGATATAAGGTGCATGACTGCTCGTGAGCATTTGGGAAACAAAATTTTGTTCATTTGTCCCCACTTAAACAACATCATTTTACCCCCATTTAGGCCATGTAAGATGCCAATTAGGGAGGGAAACGGTTAACCAAGTGCATGAAGTCACAATGGGGCAAAACGAAAAAAAAAATCATAGTTCAATGTCTAATTTAGCGTGATTAGATATTTGGTGGCTAGAAATCGAGAGTCGCATGGTCATTTAAGTCAAAAGTCCTATCATAATTAGTCATTATATTAGGAAACATTCTATTTTACCATCTTTTGTATTAGATTCTAACTCTTAGGTATTGGTATATATAAATACCCATCCACCGTAATGTGGAAGGCATGGAAATGAATAAAACTAACAATGCTAAAGTATAATATATCCAAAAGACTTGAACATCGATTTAAATGCTACTCAAGTGTAAGATATTGAACCTATACGGAAATTGATTCATAACACTCACTCCACAAGAACTAGATGTATAATCGCCGTTACCACTGATCTTTAAGCCAACCAGTACCAACTAAATAGTGTAAAACTTAACTGTTATGGATTCAAAACCATTATCACTGGTCCAAAGTATACAAACATGTTTGCAAATAAAAATTCTAATTCCATTTCCGCTTACAATAAGGAGTAAGGGTCAAAGTTTATGGTGGGAACAGAATCAGAAAGGTTGATCAAGTTTCTTGAATCAAGCTCTATAAAGGTGGGGGGAACCTTCCACTGCAACTTTTCCTTTTTCTTTTCTTGTTCAAACTTCATACCATTTGATCATCAACGAAAAGTATTCTCAGGAAGACAATTGGCATAAACATCTCAACATTACCAAAAGAAATCACTGGCACATCATATTGGACTATTACATTAGTTCTGATTATGGTTGTGGTTTTACACATGGTTTCAAATATGTCCAGAATTTAAGGCTTAAAGAACTGAAACCGAAACATTATTTTTATTCACAAAATTAAAAGCATCAAAGTACAACAAAAAAGCAGTAAATGAATAAAGAAAATCATGCAATAGTGTTAGCCCCTGAATTCGAGATGAGAAAGAAAGATTACTATGAGTAGTCGAATTGATTGCAGTAGTTCCCAATTGGCTATGTAGCATGAGTTGAATCCTGTCGATCGTCAGTGATTTGATCGTCTAGGGTTCCAAACTTCTGCTTGAAGGAATCTTGCCTCTGTAACCACATCATATGCCCCTACAACCATAACTACAATTTTACAGCATCTTCAAAAATAAACAACATCGATTCACCGCGTTTCATACGATCGAGGGAGTTGGTTGAAATCGTTACCTGAAGAGCAGCAGCCCAACCGATGAGAAAAGAAGCGAACCAGAATTTCTTGTCGTTTAAGAGCTTCTTCACATCAAAATCTCGAGTTCCCATTTCCCCCAATTATAAACCCTAAACCCTAATCTCGGAACTTTTTCCAGAGCACCTGTGGCAAATCGCCAGATCCTTCCTTGCAATTTTGTTCGTAGGTTTCATGTCGGGATAAAGTACACAAAAGACCCTAAGGTTTATGCTAATTTTCATTTTAAACCTTAAACAATTTTTAATTCAAATGCTACTATAATAACTTTTGAGAACTTTTTTAGAAGCTTTTATAAGATTTATACATTGCAAAAGCTTACAACAATTATTTCCCTACACTTCTACACATACCATGAGTCAATTTGCATATGTATAGAAAGTGACAAGTTATATATAGACGAACTACAAGATATAATATTGACTTATTTTTAATAATATGTAATTTTTTTTGTACAATATCTTATTACTTTATATTTATTTATATGAATCATGGTGCTTTATATACATTTTACGAATTTTTTATATTTACATGAATCATGTCGCTTTATTATACATTTTACGAATTTACGGAACTAATAGAAACTAAAAACTATCAAATTACGATATTTATTAACTGACATAAACATATAGAACCACAACTCCGATCATCGTTGACAAAATCCCATTATTGAATTAAAATGGTTACATTACCATATACAAAGCAAGTTGGTTTAAAGAAAAAATAATCAATCCAACCTAACCATAATCTACAAGACGCAAGCAAATGTTGAATGAGGTCAAAAACATCGATTAAGTTGCTTTAAAAGGTACCCAAACATAACTAAAATTCACGGAACAAATGTTCTAGGGTTACTCTAATGACTTATTGAGTGTCAACAAGTTCAAAAGATAATTCTTGTTTAAAAATAATACGTTCCAGATCCATAAGACGCAATGGTGGAATTTGGTGTAACGTTAACCGATAAAGGTCGAATGCTTATTTTTTCCGTATCAATTACCTAAGGTATCCTAGTATCATGCAAAACAATAACATCAAACAAAAATTTTAAACCGATTTTCTTGTTTTTCATTGCAAAACAACTTTCAAGTTTTATGTGAAAATACAATCAAGGAAAAGAAACAATGAATTTAGCCAATTCTTGAGTGGTGTTGGCTTTAAAAGATGGTTCTGGGTCAAGGTTAACACGAGACACAATAGAGCAATTTTGGTAACATCAACGGATAAAGCCTGATTGGGTAGTCTTTTTGTATCAATGACTCAAGGTATTCTAAGTTTTATACAAAATCGTACCATTATATGTAAGAACGAAGATAGTTTTGAAACATTATGCCTATCATTTCAATGCAAAACAACTATCATACGTGAAAATAAAAAACGAAATTTCAGATTTTAAAATCTTGCATTTTCAAGGAACAAATGCGTCACTTTATTACAGACCAACCATCTTATATATTCTATTAAAAAACTGCAAACATCAAAATGTTTATTTTTACCTATGACAAGTCTAATGATTGTTTGGTAACGAGGTGACAAGTATATAATAGTTTAAGATATAGAATCATATTAAGCGAGAATCAAACTGTAATAACTCTCTCATAATCCTCAAGCTTTAACAAAATCTATAGAAAGCAACTCTTAAGATTTCACAGTTTCATGAAACTTTCATCTCATGTGTAGTTTATATTTTAAAAGAAAAGATATAAAAACCAGAAAAAAAACTCATATCAACCACAACATTTATGGCTTCGATCCTCCAGACAAATGAAGAGTAATCTTCTCCCTCAAAGCGACACCTTTCTTATCATCATCTAAATGACAAACAGCTGGACGATAATCCAAATCATGGCGATGTGAAAACACAAGCTTCTCTTGAACTTCATCTTCCATATCAATAAGTATGTTATGCAGGATGCAACAAGCAAGAATAATCAAGGGTAGTCTATCTTTATCAGGCCTCCACATCACTCCTTGAATAATCTTCCAATTCTGTTTCAGCTTCCCTAACGCCTTCTGTGCCACCATTTGTGTCTTCATCACCATTTGATTAAATCTAACTTCGGAATCACAAAGCTTGTTCCCTCGATATGGAGTCATCAACCATGGCAGCAACCGGAATCCCGAATTCCCGACTATATACTCCTCAATCTCGTTTCCTTCCGAAACCACCTTTCGTTTCCCATTCAACCTCTCCTCATTTTTACAAAACTTAAAAAAAGTTGACTTTTTATGGATGCGCTCATCGGTCATACACCCTGGCCACCCACCGACAAGATCCCGGAATCGCAAGTCGGCATCTGCGATTACCTGGAATGTAACCGTTTGGTTTTTCTCGCGGTCACACCACAATTGGGTTGCCCGGTCAGCAGTCGAGAGACACATCATGACATGGGAGGTGTCGATTGCACCACAACAGTTCGGGAGTCCGGCGATCTTTTCCAGTTTGGATTTCACGGCCTCCATCTCGGATTCCGATTCCGGCCATCGAATGTGGCTGATTCCCCGGGATTCCAAGGTGTCAACAAACAGTTTGGTTATCTGAGCAACCGTGGTTTGGTTTAGGTTGAGTGAAGTTCCAACTATGGCTAAAGAGTCACCGGATCCTAAACGTCTTAATGCTGTAGCAACCACATCATATAGGCACAAAGGAATGCCATTGATGTCCATGAAGTTTGGAGTTTTTGCAATTATATCTTCTTTAACGAGTGAGGAGATGTAGTCAAACGTTTTCATTGACATCTTGAACAAGGATTCGAAGCTTTGTGAATCCGTTGATTTGGATAAACTCCCTGAAAATCAACAAAATGTGAACTTTTTAATGGTAATAGCAGAAAATGGTATCATCATATACATATTTCTTTTTGCATAATGGAGATCTTACCATATCATGACCTTATAGAACGGTTGTAAATAGTTAAAGCTTTGGTTTCTAAGATTCAAGATAATGTTAATGATTAAAGTTGGAAACTTTATGGTTAAAAACATGAAACATTGAACTTTTGAGTAAGTTGTGATTATAAAGGACCCAAAAATGGCATGATACTACCATTGAAGCAATTTCTTAATGAGTTCTAACGGTTTGCATTGATGAAGTCTTAAGAATTACTTAGAGAATTATCATTGATGTTAAGTTCTTAATGAGTTCTTGCTAATGTGACACGAAGAAACGTTATTGACAAACTCAAAAACAAATCTTTATGAAGTTTAAGATCCGGGACTACTATCGAATCTAGTGAGGTCAACGTTTTTGAATCATTGAGGCAATTTACTTGCACAAATGCTACCAAAACCCTAGCCAACATGGAGCTCTGGTGAACTAGAATTGACCTTTTATTTGGTTTATAAAGCCTCCAAAATTCACCTAAAATCTATGTGAAAGAGTCAATGTTTGACTTTTTAGAATCAAATGAATTGCTTTTTAAGTCAAAGTTGATGGATATTTGTCACTGTAACATTAAACCATTGTAAAAATTTTGTAGAACTGAAATTATTTAGGGGTTTATAAAACAAATGATTTGGAAAAATTTTGATTCTGAAAATTAATAGGTTAGGACTTTGACAATTTATTGAAGAGTTTAATGTTAAACAAACACGAAGAACATATAAATTAATGTTGAACAACAGATAGCAGAATCTTCAAGCGTATTCTATGCAGCAAAGGAGTAAAACCATGATTTAAAGATTGACTGATTCGACATAAAAAAGTAAAAACATCCAGAAATCAAGCATAATTAACACAACAAACACGAAAATCCCCTAAAAACACCATTTGGATAATCCCTTTAATCACATTCTACGCATATCAACAAGAATAATCAGATAAACACATAAACAAGAAACACTAAATCAAACCGACAAAGATTATAAGGATTATATACGATTAAACGAAAAAACTTCAAGAGCATCAGGTAAACCACACGCAAGAACACGAATATATGAAGGTACACCATACCATGAAACCTTTTGGAGAAATCATGCCACCAATCGGAAAGTTGAGGCTGAGGAAGCGGCGGAGTGACGAGAGAGGTGGTAGGCTGCTCAGCCTTCTTTTTTGATTTGGAACTTCTGATGGGCCCCATTAAAGTATCAAGAACAGAAAAAGTCAAGAACCCAAGTTGATTTTTTTAAGGGAAAGTCAAAACAGGTCTGTGAAGACGAAGGGGGTGGGAATCGAAGAAGAAAGTAGGGAAAAATGGGTTTTGGTTAATGAATTTGGAGAGAGCATGCAATGGTGTTTTGTTTTGAGTTTTGACACAATAAACTTGAAATTCAACAACACCGGATATCTATATATATACAAGTATCAAGTTCTAAAAACATTGTGTTTCGGCATTCTGACAATCTTGCTGCCTAGTAACTCCTATTTGGCAAATTGAAACATTTATTAGGAGTAGACAATGAAATAATCCAACTTTTATATATTTTGCTTTATATAATATAAAGTAATTTAGTTTTATTTTTATTTTTTATTTTTACTTTAAGCTATTTTACATATATGAAATCTTTTAGTAACATTTGAATCTTAATTTATTTCAAAAGATTACAAACATACCAAAGGGTCATATATCTTAATTTATCTGTGTTGTAGATCATTCAAAAATTAATTTTCCAATATATAAGTGATTTTGCAATGATGTATGTAATTATTCAAAAATGGGCAGTATATATTCAATATATTTTTATTTAAAATTAAAAATTATAATAAAATCTTTTTTTCTAGTTCATCATGAACCTTTAAAAATATTTAATTTAATCTCTCTCTCTGTGTGTGTCTCTCTCTCAACATGTTATAATATAGAAACACAATTTCCTATATGATGTTAAGGTTGAAGCGACATGTAAAAAGATGTTATAACATCAGTTTATATGAAAATAACGCAATATGACGTTATGGATGAGGTGACACCTCTTAAATTAGTTATGATATGGGAAACATCACATTTTCATGATAACAAATATTATATCATAAGATGTGAGAAATCAACTAATCATCATTTTTTTCTTCTTCTCTCACTTTCTCTCTCTAGGTGTTGAAATATTAGTATAACATTTTAAAACATCATCATTTCTAATTATAATATTAATAATATGACGTGACATATGAGGTAATAATTTTATGGTGTTATAACACCAACTCATACTAAGAGTTTAATGTTCCAACAAATTAGACATCCTACTCTTTTTACAAAATAAATATCATTTATTATCCCCAATTCAATATTGCTTTTAATAAATATATATCCAACATTGAACATATTTTCTTTTGTTTTTGTGTAACGGTTTCGTATTTATTGACCAATTTACTCTTTATATTGAAATTATTTGTCGAGTTAAAAGTAAAAACATAAAATATATTATTAATGATTTATAAATTATACCATTCAATTTTTTATTTTTTATATTATATTATGTTTTGAAAATTTTATCATTTGATAATATAAAAAAAATAAAAAAAAAGTTGGATACGATGTCATTGATGTCATTATATACATATGTAATTAAAATTATATTTCTATTTCTGACCATTTAGCTCCTTGTTACTTTATGGTATTTATAAGAAAATAATGTAATTGATTTACTTTTTAATTAATGATTATTTTTTGAGCTAGAAAATTTTGAAAATCATCTCATTCCATCAATCATTTTATTTGCCCTTCGAAAACATCGTGAAAACATTTTTCAATAATGATGTATGGACCAACTGAAATATATATATATATATATATATATATATATATATATATATATATATATATATATATATATATATATATATATATATACACGTTTAGTTTTATAAAACCAAATGTTTTACTAAATTTATAATTTTAAAATAGCATTTTATGAGTAATAAGTTGTATGCATTTAATATAATAATAATAATAATAATAATAATAATAAAATATATACTATTACATTATAGTAATATACAATATTATATGAATATTGCATATTATATGAATATTGCATATTACAGAAATAAATACATACATTCTATCAATTGTATCATAACATTAAATAGGGAACATCTTTCCAAATATCATAAAGCAAATAATATAAATATAAATAAATCATTATACTAATAAAATGGTAGTTTTTTTTACCACGTATCATCATATTAGGCCTTATAATTAATATCATAGCACTTGTAAATTTATTAATTCTTCATTTTAAATTTTAAATTTTAAATTTCAAATTTCAAATTTCTTATTTTAATTACATTAAATTAATAACATTAGAATAAAAAATAAAATAAATTTTATATAAATTATAAGGTTATATAATTTTACGTATTTATTTGAATCAATGATTATAGTTTTATATATAACTAAAAAAATATCTCTTAATCAATAAGTTATTTAAAATAATTAATTAATAGTTTTGAGTTTTTACTTAGAAAGTTTAATTAATTTTGTAATTGTGGTTTTCACGGGTTATAAACTAGTATACAAATATAATTGTATATTTTTTAATTTGTTACAGGTAAATTGCATAAAAGTCTCACATATATTTTTATGCTAAGGCATTATGTTATGACGTTGCGTGTCGACTTATCATTATTTGGTGACATCACATTTTAGGTATTAAAATTTAAATAAAAAAATTGTAGTTATTTTTGTCTTAAATATACGGACTTTTCTGATATCCAAATTGTAGTGACATTTGTGCAATTTAGTCTCATGTTGCCTATACTAAAGTATTCATACATATAATGTGTTGATTGTTACACTTAATAATAATGGTTAACCATTCCTTATGTACAATTGTAACGACCCAAAAATCCAGGATAAAAATTTTATTATTATTATTATTTTGTTATAGTCAAAACATTAATGAAACATATCCAAACATTGAAAAGCAATTAAATAAAACAATTATCAGAGTTTATTCCCAAAGATCACATATTGCGGAAAACATGGGTGTATGCGTTGTGATCGTCCTTAACTCTTCATTTTAAAATTGGAGTGTAACACCCCAAAGTTTGGAAAGCCAAGAAAAGAAAGAAAACCTCAAGTTTAGGGGAGACTCGGCGAGTCCATGGACGGACTCGGCGAGTCCGAGCGGGATCCGGATTGTGGTGAAAGCGACCGACTCGGCAAGTCGGCCAAGGAGACCCGACGAGTTGGGTCTGAACGAGGAAAACCCTAAATCCGGGAACTTGGAGCCTATTTAAGCGTCTCATTCTCCTTCCTAGGGTTCCTTTACTACCTCTCTACCCCAGAACACCAAACCCTAGCCGCCATATCCGTTTTTGAGCTAGATCTTGCCTTGAAGAGTGCACTAAAGCTTGGAGGAGGAAGAAAGACCTTGGAGGTGCAAGAAGGGACTGTAGATCTGGGATTGTGGAGTCATTTCAGAACAATTGGAGGTAATAAGTTGTTGCTTGGACTCCCTTTGCACCTAGATCTATTCTTATATGTGAGTTTTGGTCATTTTAGTATGATATGTAACCAATCCGAGTTGGAGGTTCAGATCTGAGGTTGCTACCTCAGATCCATGTTTGTTTTGGTCTTGAATCCCCTAAAGTATCAGCCCTTGGTATGTTGAAGAAGTATGTTTGCCATAAACCCGAGTTTAGGGTGTTTTGAGCCTAGATCTCTTAATCTACACGTAAAGTTTGCCACTTTACGTGGGGAATAGTCCCTAGAAGTATGGATCTATGAGTTGGAAACTCTGTTTGGCTCGAAAAGCCACTGCATGGATTGAGGACTGGATAGACTCGGCGAGTCCTTCGAGTGGACTCGGCGAGTAGCTTGAAGATGAGGAGGAACTCGACGAGTAGGATGAACAACTCGTCGAGTCGAATGAAGTTAGGCATGGACTCGGCGAGTTGGATGAGCAACTCGACGAGTTGGTTGAAGATTGTCTAGGACTCGACGAGTCTGTTCTTGGACTCGGCGAGTCAGATCGCGAAACCCTAAACCCTTCGAGTTGAGATTCGAATCAGTGAGTCGGGTGGTGACTCAGCGAGTTGGACAGGACAGGACTTGGAACTAGTTGGACTCGGCGAGTCATAGACTGACTCGGCGAGTCGAGTCGCGAATAAGAAAGACCCAGAGCATATGAACTCGGCGAATCAGTAGGTAACTCGGCGAGTAGGGTTGACCTGGAAGGTTGACATTGACTAGGATTTTGACTTTGACCAGAGTTGACCTAGTGACCTTTGGAGGTCAATTGGACTAAGTGTTTTATTGGCTTTTGAAGCTCGAAGAGTTAGTGGAGCAGCAGTTCGGAGTTAGAGGTCAAGTAGCAGTCAAGAGGATTAGCAGCATCAGTTCAGCAGTCTCAGGTGAGTTTCCTTCCAGTAGGGACGGGTCTAAGGCCACAATGCCGACCCGTTCAGTTAGCAGTAGTTTCCGGACTTCGGTCCGATGCAGTAGTTAGTATGTTTGATGCCTTCGTGGCTCAGACAGGATTTATGTGCTATGTTTTATGTGATATGTGTTATGTGTTCCGGGCTACGGCCCGATGTAGTATGCAGTATATGTGTTCATGCTAGTTGATATGTTATGCTATGCTATGTTCAGTCAGTTAGCCCGGACTTCAGTCCCATGCAGGGGACAAGGTCCCAGTCAGTTTCCGGACTTCGGTCCGATGCAGGGGGCAAGGCCCCAGTTAGCCCGGACTTTGGTCCGATGCAGGGGACAAGGTCCCAGTCAGTTTCCGAACTTCGGTCCGATGTAGGGGGCAAGGCCCCAGTTAGCCCGGACTTCAGTCCGATGCATGGGACAAGGTCCCAGTCAGTTTCCGAACTTCGGTCCGATGTAGGGAGTCAGTATCGGACTTCGGTCCGATGCAGTTAGTTCCAGACTTTGGTCCGATGCAGGGGACAAGGTCCCAGTTAGTTCCGGACTCCGATCCGATGCAGTTTCCGAGCTTCGTCCCGATGCAGTGGGCAAGGCCCAATATGTGTATATATGTTATTGTATGGTATGTGGTAGTTTGGGGGAGCTCACTAAGCTTCGTGCTTACGGTTTTCAGTTTTGGTTTCAGGTACTCAGTTTTTAAAAGAGGAGCTCGGGGAGATTGCAGTGCACACACCATAGTCAGTTAGCCTGGGAATGTTTGACTCTGATAATGATATTATGTTTTGAATTAATACTCGAGAATTTATGTTATGACTTATGATACAGTTTTTTTATAAATATGATTCTAATAATGCTTTTAAAGAAAAAAAATTTGGTCGTGATTTTTGGGTCGTTTCATGGAGTACCTGAAACAAGACTGAAAACCGAAAGCACAAAGCTTAG